AAAAAAAAAAGTACTTGAAATAGGCCTATAACATAAATATAAATATTCCATAACTGACTAACTGTAAGGACCGTTTTGAAAAGAAAGCAACCGGACATATGGCTAATTGATGATACGCATTGTATGGTTATTGTATACTTTCAGTAGTTCGATCACGTGCCTCAGATTCTCAGCAGTAGCTGTTGCTTGGTCGGCTGACTGCAGACACAAATAAACATGGCCGAACGTTGACCATGTCGTTGGCCAGTACCTGCAATTACCTGTCTTGTAATTTTACCTGTCTTGTAATTATAAATCCTACCACCTTTAATACGCAGATTCACGTTTGAAAAGCGTATGATAATAAAAACCATATTTACATCAGGGTAACTTTAAATGATAAATAAATTGTGGACTTTATACATTGCAGATTGAGACGTTGAACAGTCCGAACAGTCCACTACGCTGGTCAACTAAAGGTCAGCAGTGGCCAGATATGGGTCATCACCACGTGCACTCGTAATTAGAGATTGGCATTTGTGCTCCAATTTTCACAAATGTGTCAAATGTACAAAGCCATTTATTGTTTTAACAAGTAAAAAATTAATTATCTTCTCAAAGACCCCCCCATAAAGTGTGACAGGCCCAGATGAATCCAAAACCATTGACCTAGTTTCTTCTCTTCTTGGGTCTGGGCAGCTGATCACTTTGACGGTGAGTGACCTGCCGGCGTTAGCAGCAATTTTTGCGGGGTAATCTTTTAACACAGTGTTAGTTCTTGGCCTGGATAAATTCTGTTCTGCTTATAATCACATGTGATGTAATTGGAAGTCGTGACGTAAAATCAGTAGAGTTGAAATCAAGACTAATTGCAGTACGTTAAAGGCTATAGTTAAATTTACGTTTTGCAGCAGGCCTGTACGTAAAAACCGGTACAATGTATTGTTGTGACTGTCTTTTTAAAAGTAGTACAGCTAGTCGCATATAATTAGTGGGTGGTAGGGGCAAATGAAGCTAAACTTTCCCGCCGGGCATTATGTGATTTGTTCAAATCGGGGGGTAAACAGCATCAGCATAAATACAGATATTATATCATATATGGCTGAAAATTGATGGCAAGAATTTTGATGACAGCTAGGAATCTCGGAGTGGAAAGGGGTATACGCTACAAATGCTGCAGTGTTCATTCCATCCTTTTAAATGCGATCAAAACTTTTTTGAGTAGGTTTGTAAGTGTTTATTGCATGATTAGTTGTTGTTGTTGACTACCCCTTGTAATAGGCCTACTAGTACATGTAGGCTACATCTTCTGGGGGAGGTGGGGGGGGGGGGGGGGCC